TGTTCAGTAGAAAAGATGACATTAAAGCTTATAGTATTATTGACCAGTAGGATATTAACTACTGTTGTTCCAAACTTAAATTTATTTCACTATGTCTTTTCTTTCTCTAATTTTTCTTTAAATAAGCTTTACAATTCTATTTTCCTCATTGATGAAAATAAATAAATTGTTGACAGTGTCATTTGTGTTTGAGTCATTTTTAACTTTTTGGAAATAAAATTTGACAATTATGAAAGTTTTCCACCAAGACGCCCAAGTGCACTTACCTGCTGGAGCTCATTAAATTGCATTGCTGTCTGGATGTGGTAGCTGACACCTGTAAACCTAGCCCTCAGAGAGACCGAGGTAGGAGGATCCCTTGAGGTCAGGAGTTTGAGACCAGTCTCGGCAAAAGTGAGACCCCCTATCTCTACTAAAAATAGAAAAAAATTAACTGGACAACTAAAATAGAAAAAATTAGCCAGGCATGGTGGTACATGCCTATAGTCCCAGTTACTCGGGAGGCTGAGGCAGGAGGATCGCTTGAGCCCAGGACTTTGAGGTTGCTGTGAACTAGGCTGACATCACGGCACGCTAGCCTAAGGCAACAGAAGGAGACTCTATCTCAAAAAAGAAAAAAAAAATTGCATTGGTTAAGAAGTGTACCTCCTTCTTTATTTCAGGTATTTCTCTTTTTTGACCCTCAGAGTAAATTCCAAGCAGCAGTATAAGTTTACCGACTGTTCTGGCATGTTCCTCTTATTTTTCTGATTGTGTCTTGTTATATTTCTGGTTCTTGGTTAAGTTTTGCTCCAGCTCTGGTTTGCAATTGGCTGATAACTTCTTTCACATGGGTGGCAGCAATTATTGGAAATCTGGTTCTATGATCTATTTGTTGATCTTTATCAACTTGATGGGAATCTATTCTCTGTTGATTGTAATAAGGCAGAGAATTTCGTTTGTTAACCATGTTTCTGTTTGCTTGTCTAACTATTTGTGAACTCAAATTAATTAAACAAATATTTTGTACCCACTGAAAAATTGAATATCTAGACTGGTGAATTTTTGTTTTCTGAGTTTACAACTTTTAACCATGGCTGACGTTGTGGAACTGAATCTGCAAGCTCTCAGTATGTACAATTTAAACTAGCCCATATGTCCCATTGCATGAATATGAAAGAATATTTTACCTTTGGTTTATGTTAATGAATTAGATTATAAAGTCTCTAATATTAAAGGAGCTCCAGTTTGATTGGTTCATAGATACTAAAAAACTTACAAACTATAAGGAAACACAAGAATTTAAAAAAAAGCAAAGCCCCTGAGTTTCTAATTCTCTAAATATGCTGGCTCTTTAAGAAGAAAAAAAATCTTCTCATAAAAACTATTAGCTCAGAAGCATTTTGTATAAGAACCCAAGTTTAAAGGACTATGGTGAATCTTTGGACGAATGGGACTGATTTGATAATTTTGGTTTAAAGATATGTCTCATCCTTGACTTAATTGGTAGGGAGAATAATACAAGCATTTAAGATTAGAAAATATGTAAAATTATAGATTCAACTAATTTGAATTATAATTCTGACAAACTTTTTCATATCAATAACATTATGTTCCATAATATGTCAACTTAATCTCCAAGATGCTTAGTCTTGAGACTGATCCCTAAGAACTTTAAGATACTGAGCAAATGCCGGGGGTGGTGGCTCACGCCTGTAATCCTAGCACTCTGGGAGGATGAGGCGGGTGGATTGTTTGAGCTCCTGAGTTCGAGACTAGCCTGAGTGAGAGCAAGACCCCTCCCGCCTCGTCTCTACTAAATATAGAAAGAAATTAATTGGCCAACCAAAAATACATAGAAAAAATAGCCAGGCATGGTGGCACATGCTTGTAGTCCCAGCTACTTGGAAGGCTGAGGCAGAAGGATTGCTTGAGCCCAGGACATTGAGGTTGCTGTGAGCTAGGCTGAAATCACAGCACTCTAGCTGGGGCAACAGAGTGAGACTCTGTCTCAAAAAAATATATATATATGCACATGTAATATGGTAGTAATAATAATATGGGTAATTGAGACTACAGGCAATCTTTGATTTCTGCAGTTCTGATATGCAGGAATTTTAATTACCATGTGTATTAGCTTCCCATGGTTGCTGTAACAAAATACCACAAACTGGGTGACTGAAAACAATAAAAACTTATTCTCTCACAGTCATAGATACTAGAAGTCCAAAATCAAGGTTGTGTCAAGGCCCTCCTTCCTTTCTCTTCCACTTATTTTAGCCCCAGCGGTTCCTTCGCTTATAGCTGCATAAATCTAATCTCTGACTCCCATCTTTGCATGGTTTTCTCTCTGATTTTCACATTCTTTTCTTATAAGGGCATTAGTCATATTTGCTTAAGGGCTTATTACTCTACTCAAGTATATCCTCATCTTAACTAATGACACCTGCAAAGACCCTATTCCCAAATAAGGTCACACTCAGAGGTATGGAGAGTTAGGACTCAAATTACTTTCCAGGGTCACAATCCAACCCATAACACCAAGGTTTAGTTAAATAATGCCAGTCCCCCAACAACATGGCTCAAATTTCAGTTATGGTGGTATATTAACTATGAATAATTGCATAAAGTAAAAATTTTGCTGCTAGCTCTTCAGTCCAAAAATCACTGTGTAAATAACAGACACACATCATGTTCAGTGATCCATCATGTCACTTCTTTCAAAATCTGTCTGAGCTTGGTCACTATGCCTGTACATGCCTATAGTCCCAGCTACTCGGGAGGCTGAGGCAGGAGGATCGCTTGAGCCCAGGAGTTTGAGGTTGCTGTGAGCTAGGCTGACGCCACGGCACTCACTCTAGCCTGGGCAACAAGTGAGACTCTGTCTCAAAAAAAAAAAAAAAATAGATAATCAAAAAAGAGATCTGGCCAACAAAAATGAAAGTGCAGACCAGGTGTGGTGGCTCATGCCTGTAATCCTAGCACTCTGGGAGGCCGAGGCAGGAGGACCACTTGAGCTCAGGAGTTCCAGACCAGCCTGAGCAAAAGTGAGAACCATCTCTACTAAAAATAGAAAAAAAAAGTAGCCAGGGTTGTGGCGCCTGCCTGTAGTCCCACCTACTCTATAGGCTGAGGCAGGAGGATCACTTGAGCCCAGGAGTTTGAGGTTGCTGTGAGCTAGGCGGACGCCACGGCACTCTAGCCCAGGCAACAGAGCAAGACTCTGTCTCAAAAAAAAAAAAAAAAAAAAAAGTGCTGCAAAGAGACTAAAATTGATGATGCTGGAAGTGAAATGCTGATCAAACATAATGGAGTTATTGAAGAAACAGCTGACTACAGGAAGGTTGACATTGCCACCATTTGAGAGATTCTAGATATGCAGCCAGAGAAACTTAGCAAATGTGAGCTTATCCACATAAATTAAGAGAGTGATTTTAAAAGAATAAAGATGTTTCAGAGGAAGTGATGCTACCAAAAATCTTCATATTAAAATGAAATTTCAGAGATATTTCATAACATTGAAAGCACAAAGTATAAAATATTGGAAGCCTACCAAACTTAGAAAGGTGCGTGACAATTCACCAAGTCACAGAAAATATACTCCTCCATGTTGCAAGTTATACAACAAAAGAAGATAAGCACTGTTCGAACTGCTCTTGATAAGTTTTTTTTACAAAGAAATAAAACACTAAATTTTCAACATTTCTAATGTTTTAAAGTACAGCATAATAAAAATATATGTTTTAGCTTCCTATTTCTGTATATACATTTATGATTGACAGTGAGAAAATTTTTATTGTCTTAATACAATTTTTTGAAGGTGAAAAAACAATTTCGATTTTTCCCATTTTTTTATTGTGCTAAAAGACACATAAAATTTACCATTATAATTGTGAGGGGAAATCTATTTGTACAGGTAATAGGTTTCCTAGGCCAAACCAAGATGACTGCCAGCAAAGCATGAGTCAGCACATTCAGCTAACCATGATGTTACCTCCTATGGAAAACCCAAGTGATCATGCCTTCGCTTGGCATGTTGCTACTATTGTTCCGAGCCATATACAAGTGCTCACCATATTCTCGCTGCTGCAGCATCTTCCTGACAATAAAGAGTATGTCTCATCTACCTGCTGCCATTTGGCTCTTCTTTCAATTCCCAGAACCCTTGCTGGCCACGGAACTCCCTCCCCACAATAGTCATTTAATTAAATTAATTAATTTATTTATTGTTTTTGAGACAGAGTCTCACTCTGTTGCCCGGGCTAGAGTGCCATGGCATCAGCCTAGCTCACAGCAACCTCAAACTCCTGGGCTCAAGCGATCCTGCTGTCTCAGCCTCCCTGGTAGCTCGGACTACAGGCATGATGCCAGGCTAGTTTTTCTTTTTTTAGTAGAGATGGGGTCTCACTCTTGCTCAGGCTGGTCTAGAACTCCTGAGCTCAAGTGATCCTCCCACCTCGGCCTCCCCGAGTGCTAGGATTACAACAGGCATGAGCCACAGCGCCCGGCCCCCTCGTTGCTTTAATACCAGGTGTTAGCTGCTTATTGCAATTCCTACCTCCGTGTTATCTCAGAGTTCTTTTTTTTCATTTTCAGTGGCTAGTTAAGAAATTTATATTAATAGTTTTGTATGTTAGATCTACTTGTTAAAGTAACTGGTAGTTTTCTATCTCCTGTTGGACTCCAACTGATACACATGAAGGTAGCCCTTCCCTTGCATGGTAGTGAAGCACCATAAAAATGATCGTGCAAGCCAAAACCAAGAAAATGACCTTAATAATCAATCAATGATTGCAAGATAAAAAAGTTCTGGAGACCTGGTTCACAACAATGTGAATATACTTAACATTACTGAACTGCACATTTAAAATGTGCACATTAAATGTGCAGAAGATTACAGGAAAGGTTCTGTGGAACTAAAATTCAGACTTTTGAGGAGGAGATGGTGAGGGGGTACCAGTCAGTTGCTGGGGTCTCTGAGGGTATTGGAGAAATGCTGAAATTCATTCTGTCACTTGTAGGAAAACTGCAAGCTAGATTAAGCTGCTGCTATAAAAATGAACTGCTGCTGCAAAGGTGAAGAAGCACTGCTGGGGCGGTGTTCACAGGAACCACAAGCAGACACTAAGGGTAGGTCCTTTCTTCTTCCTCTTGCTTCTCCTTCCTCTAGGTCATACTCTAACACCTTCTATTGACAGAGCCTAAAATGGAACCATCTGGCAAAGCAGAAAGGTTTGAAGAATACCAGCTCTAACATCACACAGCAAAACATAGAAGGATAGTTTTGGAGTTGGGAGACAATAATTTAATAACTGTCACACTATTCTAGGAGAATAGAGGCCAAGGAGTATAACTGGGCATGCAAGATATTGGGATGTGTTTGTGTTTATCAAGAGAAAGAGAGAATAGTTTTGTCCTAAAGTAATATCCCTGATTGATCCAGAATGTGAAAGGAGATCTAAGGATGAAACTTAAATAGTTATAAAATTGCAAATGATATGCAGAACATGAACTTTATTTGCTGTGGCTTCTAAAACCTGTAATGTCTGAAAAGAAGGAATGAATCTGGAAAACACCAGTGAATGTGTTTTTCAAAAGGTCTCCAAAGTTCGCTCCATAACAAAGTTTTAAAAAGGAGCATGTTAATCCTTTTCTACTAAATATGAAATTGATAAAAAGAAATTTTTCTCTGTGTTAAAAAGACAGTTTAGTCATAGAGAATTAAGAGGTAGTTAAATGTTATTTTAAAATTTTTTTTAAAATGTGAGAAAATATACATCCATCTCTAGAACTTTTTCATCAAGCAAAATTGAAACTTTTGGGGGGAAGGAGTGTACAGAGCAGCAGTGCACAAAATTGAAACTCTATACCTGTTAAGAAACTCCTCACTCCCTCCTCCAGCCCCTGGCAATCACTATTTTCCTTTCTATTTCTGCATTTGACTACTCTATGTATATCACACATGAAATCATATGATATTTGTCTTTTTGTGACTGGGTAATTTCACTTAGTAGTCTCAAGGTTCATCCATGTTGTAGCATGTATTGATGTCTTAGTCTGTTAGGGCTGTTCTAATAAAATACCATAAACCAGGTAGCTTATCAACATCAAAATTTATTTCTCATAGTTCTGAGGGCTGGGAAGTCCAAGATCAAGATATCAGCAGATTCAGTATCAGGTGAGGACCCACTTTCTCATAGCTGGCACCTTCTTGCTGTGTCCTCACATGGGGAAGGGATGAACAAACTCCCTTGTGCTTCCTTTATAAGGGCACTAATTCCATTTAGAAGGGCTTTGCCTTCATGACCTAATTATCTCCCAAAGGGCCCTACTTCCTAATACCATCACGTTGGGGATTAGGATTTCAATATATTCATTTTGGGAAGGACGCAAACATTCAGACAATAGCCATCAAATTTCCTTCCTTTTTGCAGCTATTTTATATAATATAAAATATAATAATTTTATATTATATAAAATATAATAATATAATAATATATTATAACAACATTATATTGTATGAGTATACCACATTTTATTTATCAATTCATCTATCAATGGACATTTGTGTTGCTTCTACATTTTAGTTATTGTGAATAATGCTGCTATGGACATGGGTTTGAGACTCTGCTATCAGGTTTTTTTAGATAAATAGTCAGACATGGAATTGCTGGATCATATGGTAATTCTACTTTTAATGTTTTGAGAAACCACCAAATATCAAACCAATTTCTCATGGTAAAAAAATTAAAATGAAAAAAAAGTTAAAATATTTTTTCGAAAATTGAAAAAGAAAATAAATAAATAAATAAAAAAAAAAAAAAGAGAAACCACCAAATAGAGTTCTCCATAGCAGCTGCACCATTTTACATTCCCACCAAGAGTACACAAGGGTTCCAATTGCTTCATTGTGTACCAAGAGTACACAAGGATTCCAATTTTTGCCAACACTTGTTATTTTCTGGTTTTACTTTTTTTTTTAATAGTAACCATCCTAATAGGTATAAGGTGATATCTCACTGTGGTTTTCATTTGCATTCCCCTAATGATTAGTGATTTTGACCATCTTTTCATATACTAGTTGGCCATTCGTATATCCTCTGCTGAGAAATGTCTGTTCAAGTTCTTTGCCCATTTTTAAATTAGGTTTTATTGTTATTGTTGAGTTGTAGGAGTTATTTATATATTTGGGATATTAACCCCCTTATCAGATACAGTCACATGCCACATAATGACATTTTAGTCAATGATAGACTGCATATATTTAATATAACAATGGTCCCATAAGATTGTAATTCTGTATTTTTACTATACCTTTTCTATGTTTAGATACACAAATGCTTACCATTGTGTTACAATTGCCTACAGTATTCAGTACAGTAGCATGCTGTAAGATTTGTAGCCTAGGAGCAATAGGCTATACCACATAACCTATGAGCGTGGTAGTCTATCCCATCTAGGTTTATTTAAGTATACTCTATGATGTTTGAACAATGATAAAATTGCATAAAGATGCATTTATCAAAACATATCCCTATAATGAAGTGATGCATGACTGTATATGACTTGCAAATATTTGCTGTAATTCCACTGGTGACCTTTACAATCTGTTGATCATTTCCTTTCATGAATCTATTTTTTCTTCGTTGTCTGTGCTTTTGGTGTATATCTCAAAAATCATTGCCAAATCCAATAATTTGAAGCTTTCCCCCTACATCTCCTTCTAAGAGTTTTATAGTTTTAGCTCTTAGATATTTGATACTAAATACATTTGAGTTAATTTTTGTATATGGTGTAAGGTTCTAACTTTCTTTCTTGGGGGGGATATGGGGGGAAAAAGTGCCTCACTCTGTTGCCCAGACTAGAGTGCAGTGCTGTCATCATAGCTCACTCCAACCTCAAACTCCTGGACTCAAGCAATTCTCCTGCTTCAGCCTCCCAAAGTGCTAGGATTATAGGTGTGATCCACTTTGCCCAGCCCCCACTTTTTTCTTTTGCATGTGGATATCCAGTTTTCTCAACACCATTTGCTGAAAAGACTGTCTTTTCTCCATGGAATGATCTTGGCATTTTTGTTGAAAATCATTTGACCATATATTTAAGGGTTTTTATTTCTGGACTTTCTGTTTTATTCTATTGGTCTTTATGTTTGCCTTTATGTTGGTACACATTGAGCATTCCTAATTTGAAGCACCACCATGATGCATTTCAGATTTTGCATTTTTGGATTAGAGATGCTCAACTAGTAAGTATAATGCAAATATCCCAAAATCTGAAAAAAATCTGAAATCCAAAACACTTCTGGTCCCAAGCATTTCAGATAAGAAATATTCAACCTGTACCACACTGTTTTGATTATTGTAGCTTTGTAATACGTTTTGAAATCGATAAGTATGAGACCTTCACATTTGTTCTTTTTCAAGATTATTTTGGCTATTCGGAGTCCCTTGACATTACATGTGAATTTTAGGATGGATTTTTCTATTTCTGAAAAATAAAGTGATTTTTTTTTTACCTTCTTTGTGAGATGTTCACTTAGAAGAGATTTGGTATCTCACCAAAATCCTGTTCTGTGTTTTGTGCTATCTTATTATTATTGTTGGTGTTGTTGTTATTTTAGTTTCTCACTGCTATGGTTTAAATGTCCTTGCCAAAAGTCATGTTGAAATTCAGTTGCCATTGTGACAGTATTAAGAGGTAAGAGGTAGGACCTTTAAGAGGTAATTAGGTCATGAGGGCTTTGCCTTCATAAATGGATTGATGCTATTATCATAGGTGTGGCTTAGTTATTATTGGAGTTAAGTCTCCTTTTTATCTCTCAGTCTCTCATGTCATGTGTGCTTTCTTTCCATGTGATACTTTCTGCCATGTTATGACATAGCAAGAAAGCCCACATTAGATTCAGCCTCTGGATTTTGGAGTTCTCAGACTCCAGTACCATTAGCCAAATAAATATCTTTTCTTTATAAATTACCCAGTCTGTGCTATTCTGTTGTTAGCAACAAAAAATGGACTAAAACACCCACTCTGAAAGAGCTAAGTTCTTTGCAATTACATTATCTTCTGCCATGTTTAAATTATTTTATTGTCACATTTAGTAATAAGCAACCAAGCTATAACTATTTATGTTCAAAGGCACATATGATCCTATCTTTACTAAGTGGTCAAATCTACTCTGATAGTTTTCCTTCGCCAGATCAGACCCTAAATTCAGAAAAAAGAAATTCAAGATGGCTTTTACACTTCTGCTGTCTTAGGGGTTTTCCAGAGAGTCCCTTGGCAATCACAAAGATTTATTCTTTTACTCTATTAAAAGAGGAAGCCAAAATTGAAGTTTGTTTGGTATGCTCTACATTTTGCAATTATTTCAAGACTATTTTAAGTATAGTAAAGACTGTAAGATCAGTAAGAACTGTCAAATCAAAATGGAAGTGTAAGTTTCCCTTGGTTAATTTTGAACAGGGGAAATATCTTCAACATAACTATGTTTCAGACACTATGTGCACTTTATATGCAAGGAGCTTTGCCCAGTGCTTTCATTGCCCCTAATATCTTATCTTCAGGAAAACATAGATTAGTATTTAATGAAATTGTTATATATTTTACCCTGTAAAGAATTGTATTCTCCATTCTGATATTATTGGCTACTATTACTAATTAATCAGAGCCTTTTGGAATTATCTCCAACATATGGTTTCTGCTTTTCTCTCATACTTGCCTAAGGGCTCTGTCAGAAGCTACCAGTAAAAGTTGGGTCTTCAACAAAGGACAGCTTTAGGGCCTTATGAGCAAGACTGTACCAGATACTCTAATTATTAGCACTGCATTGAATAGACTCATGGCTACAGGCTTCCGAGCCAGCATTGCTTGTATCTTACCTTACTGTACCAAGGGACTAAACTGTGGTTTCCAGATTATTTTAGATCGAAAGCAGATGATTTTGTGGAAACTCACTAATCCAAGATCCTATGGAACAAGGTCTATGTAGAATTGAATTGATAAGGATAATCTAATAGTGGCCATTTATTTTATGAGGAATATTATTGTATTATTCTTAATGTTCTATTTTCTGATGTATGTATAAGGAAGCCCTTTATTTTCCTTCAAAGTCTGTCTCTAATTCTGAATGT